ACGTCGCCTACTTACAGTAGTTGGCAACTTAGAAATATCAACAGCAAAGCCGACGATCACAGCATTGCTGTTGAACATGTTGTTTACTTGCAAAACATATCAACTATTGAAATGAAGTCTTTTGGATACGAAGGACTTTATTACAGCAGTTTGGATGCCATCAACTATGATGGGGCAAGTAGATATATTCTAAACCATTCACATTATTTCCTTGGCTCTTTGACAAGCAAAAAAGATGTAACAGTATTGCCCAGGCGACTCTTTAACATAAGATCACGTCACGGCTACGATATCCAACTAAGTCAAGAATCTAAAAATACCATTTCATTTAAGTTTTACGAAGACGAGAGATACCAGATCGACATAGTGAGTCTGATGCATAACCGTAAAAACCGTCTTAAAGTTAAAGTGTATGGTACATCCTCAAGCCCCTACAAGGGGTGGGTGCTTTTAAAAGACAAGAAATCTTCCAAAGCACAAAATGTGTCTTTGGTAAATATAATGAACATTATTAGCTTCCCGTCATGCAAAAAGATAATTGGCAGCAACGAAGATAATCTTCTGATAGCTGTTGGTGGACAAACAGTTATTGAGGCGAACGATGGAGATGACACCCTTGTGAGTACTCGAGGTAGACATGAGCTGATTGGTGGGGCTGGTGCAGATGTCTTTGTACTACAAGGTCCCGAAGTGGCTGACTACTTGACAATCAGCGTTGTTATGGGAGCTGACGGAAGAACTATCAAATGTTCGACAACCATTTATGGAACATGGAACAAGGTAGAAAAACGACTTTACATTGACGTGTTGAAACATGACCACGAGGGTGTTATTCTGAACACGGTTGAGATTATTCCATCGCAAGAAGACGAGGGAAAAAACTTAGGCAAGATTTCTAAAGATAACGCCAACAGAAAGCTTGTCTTTCAACCTGGCTCAAATTTTAATTTCTTGGAGAAGAACAAAGCCAAAGCAGTGAGAATATAATTTACAACAACAGGGAACATGGCGACGATTAAAGAAAAAGATTATGGGAATCAATTACGCTTTGATTCTATAACCAGTCTTGACCAGTTGACGGCAAGCATTGAAAACGACAACCTGGTTTTCAGGGATAAATCAAATCCTCCACAAGCTGTCCTTATTGACCAGGAATGGAGCAATAGACTATCGACTGGGTTATACACAAGTTTGTTTGACCTCATCGTAGACTTTGTAGATCGTTTCCCATTGATCCTATTTCGAAAAACCGAGAAGGAATTTATCCGTGCAGCACAAGAAGATATACTGAGGTTCCTCTTCACACATCTGAGCCACCTCATAACTGATCTTGGACAAAACTACGATACCTTCCTTGATTCCACAACTCTTCCTTCTAATGTCAGTGACGAAATTTTTGTTGGAAATGGTCAGAACATCGTTCTCGCCAAAACAAGAGGGAAAACCTACAAGATTGGGGAGAAATCTTCTGGAAGCATCATCGTCGCCAATAACTTCACAGAAGGAAGAGGAAAAGTCACCATTAGCGGTGGAAACAACAACAGAAGTCTCAATGCAGTAGTTGTTGGAGCCCAAGCAGATACACCAGTAGAGATTTGTATGGGGCCACATGATCTGATTATTACTGGTGCTGACGAGAATGATGTACAGACATATAACGGCACTGATGGTAAAGTTTGTCTGAAAGACCGCCGACGACAACAAGATGTTATCAAAGGGTGGGACGTTTCAAAATGTGAAAAACTGATCTTCAAGAAATTCCTTCAAAAAGTGAAAGATGGAGCAAAGTATACTGAGGATAAAGATTCCTTAAATAATCCTGCTGTTGAAAAGGAAGAGTACACACACATCATCTTTAGTTGTTACGCATTTGTAAAACTCGAGATTGAAAATGCCAAGATACCAGAGGAACTAGAGGTGGACATATCGTACTTCAGCCTACTACACCCTGTCACCGTCTCGTATTATTCAGATCGTAACCTTAAACTGAACTGTCTATTTGAGAGAAAGGATGCACTTATTTGCGTGGATATAGTGGAGAATTCTAATTCACTTTGGGTCTTCTTCGGGTCAACATATCAGTTTAAGCTGGAAATCTATAAGATTCCATATTTGGTCATACCATGGGAACTGAACCAGGAATTAGATGTGAAGGTACTGGTCAACGCCATTCGCTTCCAATTTAAGGCCGGGTTGGAATTCAGCGATGGGTTGGTGAAGGATGACGAGATCTGTCGATTTGTCGTCGGAAAGTTTACGGCTGATCCTCCGGGATATAAGTTAACTGGTAAAGACGCCACTTTGACGAATTTGGATTTAAAATGCTGAAATTTAAAATTTCATTTAATGATCAAGCATGGGAGTGAACTTCAAATGTTGTAATGGCAACAAAAATAAGGAGAATTCCGAATAAAATGATGAAATCAATAAACAATATTGATTGGCCTTTTTTCACTCAATTTCACTAATTAAGCTTTTGAAACAATTAACATCTTATCTTCACGTCTCTTCTTATCAAAATCCGCTGGTCACGTGCATCAGGTTTACATTCTTTACAACTAGACCTTTGTAACTCGTTCTCTCTACGAAGCTAGCCGTGCATGAACAAAGCTTTTGAAATCTCCTGAAACAAAACAGGGGCACCCAACGAGAATATAGTTCAAAACCACTTAAACATGGCATTGTTGAACGTATTTTAGTATTTAAACAGTAGATATAGGCATATTTTTATCCCCTAAAAATTTTTCATCTGTTCGGATTTCCTAGCTGAAAGTCTAGTGATCCGAAAATTATAGGGATCAAAACTTACCTTTTCGACAATTTCAGCCAGAAAAAAGGCTCCTGAAAATTCTAGGTGACCTTTTTACTGTTTTTACGCTAAAAATTCGTTAAAAATAGGCAATTAAACCATGTTTGGAAGGTTCGAAAATCCTAGGAGAGGCATGCAAGCAAGAAATTTAAGAAATGGTCCAGATAGGAACGATAGCACTGAACGGCAACGAACATGTTGGAATGCAAAAAAGGTGCTAACTTTTCTATTGTCTGTACTTACTTTTGATTGGCTTAAACAGCAAAAGTTAACAAAACTTCATAAAGCGGTACATATATTCATCCTTACTTTCCAATCATCTTCCATATAACAAAATCTGGTCTATGTTTGAATAACAAAGAAATCCTATGTGGGGAACATGTAAAATTGTAAACTTTTCTTGGCTATTGTTTTCAACTCTTGTGATTGGTCAAAATCTTTTAACACAAAAAAACACCCTTTCAAAGTGGAGTGTAAATGCATTTTATTGCGTAAACGACCTTCATGTAGGTTTATGCATTCTCTGTGTAAAAATGAGAACATTCCTATTTGGGGAAAGCACCGTGCCGCATAACAAAAGAAATTGCTATCCACCTTACCCGGATCATTACTTAACAACAAATGTTGCGAAAATTCTAGATCTCAAATCGTCTTCCGAACAGATATTTCCAAAAATTGTCGTTGGGTGCCCCTGACAAAATGGCCGCCGCGTGACAAAGGTCTATACGGCGCATTGTGGTAAACCTTGAGTGTGACTACTGAAGGTATGTTCACCCTATATCAGATAGCTTTTGCGCAGACGCGAAACCCAGATCGGATGGGGCTTCCGTTTACACATGATGACGGTGATTTCGATGCGATTTCTGTGACGAAGCGAAGCTGTGCCGCTATGCAGATGACAAAAATGAACAACGTCGAAATCGATCTAAAGTATATAGTTTTAAAACGCACGGAAAATATTCCATGAGAACAGTAGAAGGGCCCAGTCGAAGTTGTTGCCGAAAGGATTCTCTCAGTTCAGGAATGTTTCAAAGTTGCATGTTGCTTCCGAATGTCCAGAAGTTGCTTCGGAATTAGTTCGAGATATCTTCGAGTTCTTTGATTTATTCTGTCAGGGGAAAGAAATAATTATGAAGAAGAATTAATTATTACTTTTGGAAGAAATAAACAAGAAATAATTATTATTTCTGGCTTGCCTAGGCTTTGAACTGGCTTACGTCTAAATTGAGGGATTAGCCGATTGCGCCACTGCGACGCAAGGTAATTTGAGATGTGGAAAATAGCTATAAGTTCTACTCGAGGTACGGTTTAAGATTCGGCCCGCAAGTTTGTTACGTTTTAGCTTGTTTTGGGTATTTGACGTCGTGACACCGGAATGAGTTGGAGCAGAAGCATGCTCTGGTTGGAGATATCGCGAGGTCACTTCTAGTTCTTTCGGTTACAACAAATATTTGAGGCGGAGAGCAAACTAATGTCGTAAATTTGCATTTTGTTTCCGAAGTGAGGCCAGAAGTTGTTCGAGACATCTCGATATCTCGAGATCAGCTCGAGTTGTTTAGTTTGTCTGAGGAAGAAAGAAATATTTTTTTTTGCTCGCCCTTCGGTTTGTAGTTACTTATCTTTGCCCCGTTAGATCGCGGAGACGAGATTGTAACAGAAAAGTAAAAGATGGTTGATTTGTAGGTTTAATTTTTTTTTTAATTTGGGCGAGCAGCAAGTTTATGTTTTGCTGCAGAACTTCGAACAGTCGGTGTGCGACGATTAGTTGTTTTGGGCTTATAGGAAAATGACTGAAACGTCGTGCGCAATTTATTTAAGACCGAAAATATAATCGAATTGGATTACAGCTACGGGGTCATGCACCTAGCAGACTTCCGGTGAAGCCAAGACGTCTGTAACACAAAAGGAGAAAAGTAAGGGTATTTTTATGTTAGGGTATCCGGAAAAATATCATTTCTTACTGTTCCTCCACATTCACAATTAATCCACAACCACGACGCCGAAGTTTACGCTCTATAGCGTCTTGTTTCTTTAAATACACTGTAGCTGTATTGATACTAGAATATACAAAGCGAAGGAATATTTTGTTTATTTAAAAAAATAATAAATATATATTTAATCCTCAATTCACTTTTTGATACTTCACAACTTTTTAGTTTAACTGCTCTCAAGAACAGATCTTGTTTAACGTATCCAAGTGAACTATGGTCTGTGAAGCGACCTTGTATCAATAAAATAGCAATTCTATATTATAAACAACATTATACTTTTATCTTCAGTTATTGCTTTCACTTATGATGATCAGCATCTTGCGCTGCAACTTAAAGCAAAACTGTACTGTTTGTCGTAGTGGTAGTGGTTAGAACATAAGCGGTTCTGTTTATTTTGGCGCGTAACATTTTCTTAAATTGCGTGACAATCATTGAACTTCTGAAAGTCATGCGACGTGTTCTTTCCGGCAATATCTTTGTTGCGTTTAAGCAAATCACTCGCAAATTTACATGGTATCACTTCCATGTTGCGCAGCTTTTTTTATCTCGAAATAGTTTTATAACACATTGTAATCAACTTTACATTTGTACACTTTTATAAGCTGCAGCTAAACCGCTACCCCTCCCCCCTGTGCAATCGACTCCTCCTTTGAATTCTTCACAGTCGGAGCACTCAAGGATTGTTGGGTCAGCAGTTTCCGTCTAAACAGTATGCCCACGACCACTAAGGCAACCAGAAGTACGACGCAAACAGCCGTGATACCAATGACCAGCGGGTTTACTAAGCTTGAATCCTGGGATTCCTTAGTATCCGTCTGTTTCTCAATCTGTTTCGAAGGCAAATCAGGCTGCACTTCCTCTGGATCAAGCAACAAACGAATCATCTTGATATTTGTGCCTTGTCCGCTAACTCCAATTTGCCTCTTACCGGCAGCATCGCGGCGAAACAACCTGTGAACGAGGCTATTATCCAGCTCAGATAACACGTGGGAAGAAAAGGAGGTCTTTGAATGGATTTCTTGTTCTACTGAAAGAGCGCGCCTGGAGCGACTTCCGGAAGTGACGGAGTAAATAGCATGCATAAACCATTTCCGGTTTCTAGGAACCTGCAATTTGAGAGAGCATTTATAACATAAACCTAGAGTGAAAACAAAATGTGTCAATAAACCTTTAAAAGAGATCTAATGAAGAGAAGAATCTGGGAGAATTAGCCTCGTATTTGTCATCTTGGCTACCCTTTCTTATCCAGTTTCTCTGCGGGGATCTTGTCTACCTATAGAGAATCCTTCTTGACATTCATGTAGTAATTTCTTTCGTGACTACCGGTTGTTGAAAAATTGAAGTCAAATGGACCCATTTCGATGGATCAAAGTTCATAGCAGGCTCCAAGGCTTGGGAGAATGTAACAAAAGTATTGTAATAATTATCCCTGAAGCTCAAGGCGATTTGTTTTGCTACATTAGCCTCGGAGCTAAATATATATCGACATAAACTGCCACTCCAAAAATTGGGGCTAAAGAGAGAATGGATACAACCTTTTGGAACAAAGCTTTCTGGGATCACTTGGGAGAGAAGCGTGAGTTATGATTGGTAAATGGTTGTCCTTGGAGACCACGAACCAAATTTTTAAACGCTTGTCTACCTAAACAATCCCAGTAAACTTTGCGTCCAAAGATCGTATCATTGCTGTTACAGTTTATGAACAAGAGAATACCTCTCAGGTGATGAAATGAAAGCACCGAAAATAACGTAACAAGTTTGAAAACTACTGTATTCTGTGATTCGAAGTTACTACCTCAAAAAGGGGTGCGCTATTCATAACAAAACCATCGGATCCAGGATTTTCGGAGAACTCCGTTGCGTTGGTCTCTTCTTCAGCAAACTTCGCTTCAAAGGGTACATCGGAGAGGTGTTTGTCTACAGAACTTGGTTCTTCCCTATCCTGTAAAACGAAAGAAGGGAATTTCTTGGGGTACTTTAAACTCATAAAACCTGGTGAAAAGTTAAAAAGGTAAAAAACTTACGTAACTCATAAAAAACGTTTAAACTGTTTAACTGTCAGTTAGTGAAGTTTCTTTTAGGCAATTAAAAATAACTAAACGGCAAATTTCTTTGCCCTTCTCAAGAATTCAACCCCTGATATCCCCTCATCTCTAACCAAAATAGGTACCCCTTTCAGGCGGGGCATTCCCGTACAGGAGATACCTTCAAGGATATCTATCAGAAAACCATCTTCTTACTAATACGCGGGCATCCTAGCGCGTTATTAGACACAGTCGACTTACCAGGACTTTGAGTTGATGTTCCAAATAGAGCGACTTCGCCATGCAGCCAAACTTGTTCTTCAATGGATCGTAAGAGGGTATGTACTCCCCGACACCAGTGCACAAATAAACCTTCTCTGTTGCCAAGGCATATCCCTTCCCTCTCCTCCCTAGTCCACTTGCCTCATTTAAACTGATGCGCCCGTAGATTTTTGAGCCTGTAAATGTGAAGACAGTAGTAAGAATAGTACAACATAATAAGGAATGAAGAGCCTAGTCTGTACCCAACTCGGCCAAGCCTTCTTCCTTATATCAAATGCTACATATACTGCATCTCTTGACGAAAGAAAGAAAACCAGGTTTGTTCGTGTAGCATTTTAAAACAGTTCACTAAATGAAACTTAACTTGAATCAACAGAAATGATATGACGAGGGAAAATTTTGAAAAACAAATTTAAAGAGGCGACACGCCAACCTAACATTTACAAAACTTTTCGATATGATAGTCTTAAGCTTCGGTAAATCAGGCAACATAAACGTGAAACTAGTTTTGCAACATTGCTGCGTTTTACAACCCTTGTTCAAACCTGTTAACAACCAGATTTGTTGCAAGTCAGGTTTGTTGTGGTTGGTTCAACGAGCAACGTATCTATTAAACTCGTTTTGCAGAAATGTTGCAAGACAAGTTGCAGGTTTTTGTTGCCCGTTCGGGGGAGGATCCAGGATTTTTTTTAGGAGGGGGTGCACTCGTCTCTTGCTCTACTTCAACACCAACAAACCAGACAGTTTTTTTTTTACAGAATACCAGTTGTATTAGGAAACCGCAGATCATCTCAGGGGGGGGGGGGGGGCGCATCCCTGCCCCCTCCCCCTAGATCCGCCCCAGCTGTTTAACCGTACTTTTACGGTGGCAGGAGACTAATTCAAGAAATCCAAAAATTCACATAAGCGCTTGAATTAAGTTCGTTTATATCTTATTAGTTATGTCTTTCGGCTTTTCAACGACAGAACTACCGACGCCAAAGATAGAATTAAGGAGAGGGGGATTGGGGGCCATAAAGCAGCCATAGGCTTTAAACACCAAAGGCAACCTGTTTGATATTCTGTTTTTGAATACCTTACCTTTAGAAAATGCAGCATCTACTTTAAAATCGCCCATTTTAACACGGTCCAGCCACTGATCTTTTTGCGACATCAGAAAGAACTTGGCGGACAGAGTGAATTTAGCGGGAACTGGATCGGGAACTTGTTGGAATCTGATTGGCAAAGTGAAAGTCACCGGATCACGTGGATGACACGTGAGTGGCTCTGCGTAGACTGCTCCCTAAGTGGAGTTAAAAAGTCAATAAAAATGCTAAATATCACCGACTTCAATGCTCTACAGAAACTTTGCTCAGTTCTTCGTTTAGTTTCACCACCTAGAATATCGTTTGACACAATGGTCAGTAAAAAAAACTGTATGAAGAATCTTTCGTAAGCTGTATCCTTTCCTGACATTAAATACGACGCCCACGAGGACTTGAGATGGTCGATGGTAATATTCAGTAATTTCGCCGCCCAATTTTGGCTGATCTATGGCTTGTTTTTAGCTTTTAGCCTCAAGACCATTTAGTTAAACAGATTAGGGGAATCTAACCTGCCCTATTCAGAAAGCAAGCATAGGAAAAAAATTACATTGTATTTCAGGAGCTTTAGTTCAATGAAATACAACATTAGGTACGTGCAAGAGTTCAACTGAACCCTTGGCAACCAAAACGCAATATGGAAAAAAGAAGGAAGAATCAGCACTGAAAATTAAACTCGTAAGAGGATTATTTTACACCAACCTCGTCCGCTGTGCAAGGAATCAGTTTAATGAAATATACTCCAGTGTAATCTCGCAGTGCATACTGGGATTGAAACTGCCAGCTCTGCTGTGGGTAGTTGTAGGTTTGTTGACTTGATGACAGTTTTAATCTAAAACTGAGGTGTGGCCGCTCACGTGATATAACCTGCGCAGTCGCTTCAGTGCCTGAAAACACGAATACAAAGAAACCTGGTTTTAAAAGGGGAGATGTTGTTTTCAGATTTGATGGGTCACGAAAAGAGAGTTTTATCAATTGTCGCAAAGAATGTCAGTTTCGCTTTTATGAATCAATAAGGCAAGCGCAAGTAGATACAGGGTCGTTACTTTCAAACGCGTTTTATGATATATTTAACGTCGAAACGGCGAGATATATCCGATGTTTTATCGCGTCTCTTCTTTCAGGGCTTTACACTAAATTAAGTAATGGCAAGCCAGAAATACATACTTGGATTTTTGATCAAGTAAATTCCTCGGAACTTGGTTTTGGTTTTAAAATTGACCACCAGTCGTTTATCATCTGCGCGTACAGAAATAGCAGTAGGCCATAGTTCTCCATAGAACAAGTCTCCCTCAGGAGTCTGCACGCCATTATTCAACAGTACAGCGGTGTCGTACGTGAGGTGCAGCCGCAAAAACATGGCATGATCGTAGTGAACCCAGTCTCCCCTCGTCCTCGGTACGCGATGCACGAACGAAACATACAAAGGTACGCGGACGGTGAGCTGTGATTGGGCAATATCACTCGACTGTTCGTCTGATGTCACTGTAGCGCCACAAAACTGCGTGAGCTCTGAAATGTCGTAGTAGCTGTTAAAGGTCCACAAGCAAGACTCGAGGTCGAGATTTCTGTAGAAGCGTAAAGTGCTGTTGTTCCTAAGCTCCTCGCTAAACTGATATGGTTCACCCTCATTCATACCTTTGTGGTCTTTAATAGAATCTGCTACAAACCCAAGACTTGTGGTGATTTCGTTCAAGTCTAAAAGATTGGAGCATTTGTGTTTCGCTATCCTTAGCACGCCTGGACGAAGTATTCGCTTGAAATTTGCAAGTCGTGTTGTCGATATTAGTGGTATCAGGCCGTCCGTATGAGGGAGAATAACTTTAATATGGACTTTGTTGGAGTACTTATTTCCCGTTGCTCCTGTAAAGGAAATGGATGCTTCAATCTGCTGCGATCCCACCTGATCAGAGCCGCTCGGTGTGCATAGACCCCTCTGGTTACTGATGTTGACTTGAGCACTTCTCGATTCTAGGCCTAGCTCACCGCGGTCATTGACGGCACGCGCGACACATCGCACCCGACTGCCTGGTACCAAGTAAATGCTATCCAAAGTAACTTGATCAGTTTTAGCGAAAAACGTGTCACTTGTTAAGTCTCTTAGTTCCTCGCCGATTTGCCAACGGAACTGTGTCAGCTTGTTATTAATTCGTTGTGAAGAACAAATTGAGCCAGTTTCGGCGTATCTGGGATACTTAGGATCACAGGCCTGTGTGAGGAAATAAAATATTGTGGTTATTAATCTACGCTGAGTAATTATTTTTAGGGAAACACGCGGTACAGCATGCAACACTTACGGACATTCCGTAACTACGGAGGGTGGATCAAGAACATCTCAAAAGTATTATTCTTATAAATGCCATGACCATATAATAGTCCGTAACGTATTTAAGCATGTGATTAAAAACCTCCTCGTTTTTATTCTTAGTTTGTTCTTCAAAATCGTTTAAGATTTGGTATCAAACACTTGATACAGTGATTCGTAAGTCACCACAAAGTCCGAAACGTACAAGTAGCATGCTTTCAACTCCCTTTGTTGGTGTTTCATATGTGATAAAACACCTTGTTGCCGCGTGTCTAACAGAAAAGTGGATACTCAATTTTTTGGATTAAGCGCCACGTAAAAATGCTGTCCAAAGAGAGTCACTTATATCGGTAGGCTCAACAAAAGTAGAAGTGGTCACTATAATTACTTACTGTGACACATATTAGTGGATAGCCCTTGATCATTTCAGATTCCGCCCCACTGACATCATCATAGTCACGCAATGATACGACCCTTGGCGGGAGTGGGAAAGTGACGGCGGGATTACGTGATGGCTGCTCGATGTACACAATAACTTTCTTCCTTCCCAGCTCACTGTGGCCAGTAAAATCCGGGCTCAAGTGGACTGTAAACGCGCGACGAATCTTTCTTTGAGCATCGAACAGGATTTTAACTACAACCACGTGACTGGAGTTACCTCGGGAAAACTCTAAAATCTGAGAAATATAAAAAGAAATTGGGAATTTAAAAACCTCCCGTAAGCGACAGCCCAAACAGCCAAAATTTGAAGGTAATTTACCTGAGCTGATCGCACACGAATTTTCGAATGTAGCAGGGCTAACTGGTTTTTCTCGTTCTCACTTGGAGCGAGAGAACAATATATTTTTTGTAATGGTATCGCTATCATTCGCAGGTGAGGTCAGTTTACGGAGTAAGCTTAAACCTGGTGGTCAATGTTTGGCTTCTGTGGTTGTTTTATGTTGTCCCAAAACGCTGTGCATCAGCAAATTCGGGTACATCAAAGCCGTTGTGACCGACAGTAAGTGTCCGTGCTACAGAGATATCCGTTTAAGAGATGGTTGACGTACGGCAGGAGCCCATATCCCGGAGCGAGCAACTCCCATACTAGGCCTATGTTACGGCGTTTTTACGGACCAGTTTATTTTTAGAGATATTTTAGGGCACTTTTTCCCGCGAAAATGGAATCTCCGCCACATCTATGAACGCATTCGAAGTATAAGATATCAAAAAGGAAAAGGTAACGTCATTAAAGGCAAAAATTATCATTTTTAGGTGTTGCCGACTGGTTTGTGGGACTTAAAAGATACTCTAAATTCGCGGCAAAACCGTTCCAAAAATAAACTGGTCCTTCAAAACGCCGTGACACGAGCACATGGAAGTTGCTCGCTTCAGGTTATCGGCTCCTACGTACGGAAAGTATTTTCGTCCTTACCTGTGTCATTGCCTGATACCCTTTACCAGCCTTCGCGGATCCATCAAGTGTATACACCCTGACCTTTGACCTTGTGAAAGGGTCACCTGTCTTTTTTAAGGTTATCCGTGCCTCGACATGCGCGTTCCTTACTACAGGGCCCGCTACAAATACTCTCTCTTTCGTGAACTGAATAACTGGTTCTGCAGGAAAGAGGAAAAGTCAATTTAAGTCCCCCAAAACTTGCAACGGGCCTATTAAAAACGTAGGTGCGCAATGCGTACAGGATGGTGGTTAAAGAGATGTTCGCTATTTCCAATTGCCTTACAAATTAGAGTATTCATATTCAAACGCATGTCAAAAAACGAGAAGATTTCAAACTGACATTCTGTTCTTTAGTAATTTTATTACATCTTCCATTATGTACTGCGTTTACGTAACAATGAATAACTCTATACTCTGGTTACCACAGGGTTTTTTTTTCTTGTGCTGCGAGGAAATGCTTTACAATCGGCCATACGCCGACAAATCTTCGGCTTTACAATCGGCCATAGGCCAACAAATCTTCGGCCAAAGCTCGAGCGGCGATGGGGTATCAGAGGAAAAACGCTTTCATTTAAAACCTCCTAGACTCCAATTGACCAAGTTAATTGAGCAGGATCATGACTCTTAATTTTCCGGCGTCCACCATTTTCACCCTCCAAAATTTTACATAACCATTGTTTTCAGTTTCTCCAGGGTATTACAGTCGTCCCAAGAGAAATCGACGACAATGGTTATAAAAAATATTTTCTTTTTCTTTCTTTCTATCTTCCTTCCTTTTTTGGGGGGGGGGGGGGGGAGGGGGAGGGGAAGGGAGGGGAGAGGGGGGGAAAGGTGTGTTATATTCCGGTGAAAATAACGAATAACAAATGTTTATATAGCTAATTCAATAAAGGTTGCTTTGCCAATTGGTCACTGGGTATTTGGGCATATATACGGAACTTATTGAAATTGATCGTTTGAGTAACCACCAAACAATAGCTTCCTAACACACAATTGTCCAATACCAAAAGCAACCTTTATTAAATCAGGTTATCAAAGTACTTACTATCGGCTTCGTCTAGGATGGCTATTTCGGTCTCGTTCCTTTCTCCAATCCGAGTGTTCCTGTCCGCGCTTCCAAGTTTCAATTTAAACGTCTCCTGACCCTCAAACACGAGATCGTCCACGATTGTTACAGGACATGACTTCTGGGTCTCTCCTGGATTAAACAGTATTATTGAGGCGTCTGTGTCGGTACGCTCTTTGAAGTCTCTTTGCACTTGCGCAGTCATGGACCGGGTGTAGCAACGGACCGTTGAAGTGTATGACAGGTCTCCGGTGCGCATCAGCGTGACACTAAATGCACCTGATTTTTCATTGGTGGAATATGAAGTCTTCACGAATTGCACTTTGGGTACTAGAAAATAGAGTTTTAAAGCTAAATTCAATTTACATCGACCAAAAAAGAGAAGAAAAATTCCTCTTACATTAATTATCGCTGTATTTTAGGTTTTTCATCATTTGGACTTTATTTTCTCTAAAGTTTTTGATAAACCGCTATCATTGTGTGCCGATTTCGCCAGGGAAGTTCACCTAATATTAATATACTGAGCCAACGGGAATAACCGCTAGGAAGTTTGAAAAAGCGAGAATCCATTTTACTAATGGCCTTTTCGCTGTTACTGCCTCGCTTTCCCTAGACTTTCTAACCACAAGGACCAATGTAAGAGGCCGTTTTAGTGAAAGGTCGCTATAAAGGAGGAGCCTGCTTTGTGGGGGAGCCGTGACGGGCGTGGCTAAAGAGGCGACAAAGGGAATTCGCTTTTAAAATGGATAAAAATCTTTAAAGAAAACTTACAATCAGATATGGAGTCATCAATAGCAATAACAGCGTTGCTAGGTTCCTTAATACCAGTATTAATAGGAGTCCTAAGAACCAGTTCAAACGTTTCTGTCCCCTCTACTCTGGGGAGACCTTTGTCATCACGGATTGTTACTTCCATTGACTGACGCTCGAAATAAGGAGCAAAGTAGACCATCTGGATAACTGGAGTATAGTCTTCACTGGCTACGAGATATAAACATATACAAGAATGAAGAATAATTGGGGAGGAACAGAGTATCAAATGGTCAATCAACATCTCGAAACCAAAATGTGTTTCAGTAACGCGCCAGCTGATCTTACCTCGCGCAGATATTGGGTCTATCTGCCTCGACCTCACGAATACTGAGGATGACTTTGAAAGGTCGGTCCCATTCCTCCGAAGAGTGACTTGCATCTTGCCAACACTTTCATCAACAATGTAACTCGACGGGTCAAAAAATATCTTTGGTTCTAAAGCAAGATAAGCAAAGAAACTTAGTATAGACATGCTAACCTCTTATTCACTAACGGGGTTAGGGATATTTTAGTCATTACGCACATAAGGTAACACTTAGCAACTGAATTAATGCCGGTTACATAGCGAATTCGAAAATTCTATCGACAAGCTACACTCTTGTCAGAGCCCAGTTTTTCATGCAATTCTACTAATTCCAATCACGCCCCCTTGCCATCATCTCTCCTTAGAACTTTCACCCACCATATGTAAATAACAATGACAGCATTTCGAATTCAGCAAATCTAATGGTAACGCCAAATTTCAAGTCCCATAATTGCAAACGTCAAGCTTACCGTCTTTCGAATCTGGGGCTATTATCACCGCGCTCGTGTTCCGTTCGTGGTTGATTTTGCTCCCAAGATGAGACAGCAATGTCACATAAAATGTTTCCTCGTTTTCGTACAAAGAATCGTCAATAATCATAACTGGACAGTCTTTAGTTGACTCTCCCTAAAACGACAAAGGCAATATGATATAAACTACAACCAGCTTTTCATCTCTTCCGCTGGCCGCTTGGCTGCTAAAGCCACTAAGTTGTTTTCCGGAACTTTTCCATCTTGATTTTTCATGCAGCGGTTTTAAAAGCATTTAAAAACATCGAATGTTAATTCACCACTTTCAAACAGATAATAACATGCACCTTCTTTAACCCCCTTAATTTTGCATAACCGCATAACCCTGATTATCTTCGATCTCTGTTGGAACGACTGTAATACCCAGGAGAAATTGAAAACAATGGATATCTAAAACTTTGGGGGTAAACAAGGTGCATTATGGTCTATGTGAAAATAATGAATTTCGCTGAAATACAAATGCGCCCAATGAAAAGAGAAGGCTAATGAAAATTGTGACATCACTTCAGAAAGGGGGAACCAAGAAAGTTAATGCTTTTGTTCAAACTACAGCGCAGGACAGAAAAATGTTTTTGTTAAGAGATAGTGTAGATTCTGTCAATCAAATAAAAAAAACTGTTATATTGGCCACTTTTAGGATGCGGTTGAGACTGGGACTATATCGTGATGCTGATTTGCACTGTGGGACTGTTTTGGAGGATGAATTTGGACTCAGTTTGCTGCGCAACCTCATAATGATTCTAGCCAATAAAAGAAGTGGGAGCGTCCGCCCAAAAAAGCCCCATAGTGCAATTCGACAAACATAAACCCAGTCTCCCGCGCAACCGTTTTACAATCTCCGTCTCCGTCTATTGCCGACCATACAACGGTGTCTTAGACTATGGCAAGTCACTACTAGTGGTAGTTGCTGATATTCTGCGGCACATGAAATTCAGCACACACACGTTGTTTGAGAAACTGCTCAGGTCACTGCTAACCTTTTCAAATGTGATGACGCTTTCCTTGCCTGCAGGCCTCGTAATGAAGTCTGCGTAGGACGATATAGATGTAGGTATGGTACCGGTAGCCCAGCCTGGGAGACAATATTTAGAAAATAATAAACACCACATTCACGATTCGTATAGCTATGTTAACCACATGCTCCATTCATTGCCGCGGTGTGGTGGCTTGCATGCTCCAGTGACCTGGAGAGCTATGACAGCGGGAACACAAGCTCCTGGTAGAGTCACCTATGCTGGACAGGGAAAAGGGTAGAGGCCAGACTAAATCGGACCTTCTCTACCAGAGGTTAAATGGGTTTGCTTAGGGCCAACACCCCTACCTGGAGAAAATCTTTGTTACAGAGGCATCGATGACAAGCCAAAGTCAACCCGTTCTGGGAGGGGAGAATCCTCCGTGCGGGGTGTAATGACGCAGAAAGAAAAGCCCAAAAAGTGTTCGATGGGGGAGGGGGACTTTTTGTCGATGGCCTATACTCCACTAGGGGCCAACAACCGCTAAGTGAGTACAACATGTGAACTCGGCCTTACTTATTTTGAGGACGAGCTGATTATCCGGTTAAAATCAACATAAGACAAGGTGATGTATTTGCCAACAATAATAAATCATCCAGAAAACCGAGATCGAAGCTCTTGCTATGTTATCAACTCACGCCATTATTTGCAAATTTCTACTTGAAAGCAACATAATGAAAAGGTGCAATGATGGTGGTTGTGATGTATAAAATTTATTTTTTATTTTTAAAATCTTTTCAACATACCTTCCTCGATGAAGGAGTGTGTCACACAAGTTACATACAACCGCTGACTAATATCTCCAGTTCTTCTCAAGGGAATCTTAGCTTCTCTGACGCTTTCCTCGACAACTAGCCGATCGCTAACAACTTCCACCGACGGAACTAAAATGAGAGACCAATGAAAAGAAATTCAACACTCACACTACTGTTCAAAAGAGATCAAAAAAATTGATTTGGCCACGAAGTTACCCTACGATCAGCTGGAAGGGGCAAAGTCAGGCGCAAGCAAGCGTCACGTGAATGGAGGCGCCCCTCTCTCTGACGCCTTCGGGCGATCCTCTCGATTGATCCTCGCGCGGGACTTCTCACAGTATATCCCTCAAGTTTAGAGCTTGCTGGGTGACGAAATTTAACTGTCAGAATTCACCTATTTTGAAAAGGTTGTCAAAAACTGCACACAGCTTATACAAAAATTCAACCTTTACGACAATCTTGAACGTTAGAAGCCAAAGGAAAGCATGCGCTTGGCATTTAAAAATTTAAAGGCAACTCTCGTACGAGCCAAAGTAATACATACCATCTTCTGGGTCTGTGATAATCACGTTAGCACATTTAGGGTTCTTGATCACGCACATCCGGGGACTGTTCAGTTCCACTTTGACAATTTCAGGACCCTCGTATTTCCCATCATCCTTTACGCGTAACTTGAACTCCGCTTTGCTCTGTCCGGGACTGAACTGCACATGCGCGGGACCAAGTAAAGAGAAATCATCCCCGAAAGTTGCATTCACACCCCTTACGCACAACTCCGCAAACGAAACCTCTCCGAGAAAGCCTTTTCTGCTGATTACAACGCTTATAACACCGTCAGTTTCGTTGATTTCGTACCTATGGCGTTCTAAAGACACCCACGCCCAGGTTAAAGAAAACCGTTGATGTCGAAGCGTGTTCCCGGCAGGATCAGAAACTTCAAAATCAAAAGCATCGTTTGTAGCATTAGATCCATGATGGAGAACGTACATTATGTTTTTGGAATCAACGTCAGCTTGAGTAAAGTTGTTTACACTTTGGTTGCCATGAAGACCTCCCGCCTCTGTAAGAATTCCATTGGATGGCGGGAAGATGACGGTGTAGATTAACTGCGAGTTGTTACTGTCAAGATCTTCAACTCTTAGCACAGAATTACTTATAACAAACCCGAGTCGATTACCAGGTAATTTATTAAGATTAGTGGCACCACGGTTAAGAACCAGTTGTGGGACTCGATTATCCACAGGCTTGATAACGACCTGCACCCTATGACTGCTACGAGCAGAGGTATTGGTATTGGGAAACACGTAGAATTCGTTGTGTGCTCCGTCGCTAACCGCGATCTCAAAACTGTCTTTGTTCACCTCCGAGCCATCGTGCGCATAAGAGATTTTGTTCAGATTTACATCCTCTTGGGTAAACGCGCGCGAGGGCGTCGCGCCATTTAGAATCCAACCGTGTAGAGGAACGCGCGTGACGGTGTACACGAGATTCTCAGGCAGCGTGTCTTGATCTTCTGCTCGAAGCTCAAAAGGTGTAATTAGTATATTTTCGCCTTCGTTCACCACGAGGTCGCTGGATATAAGTACTGGTTTCTTGTTATCTGTGTCAAGAAGTGTCACCAGAAATGTTCTGACCACGCTGTTAGTACCATCTGAAACCTCAAAATCAAAGCTGTCTGCCTTAGCCTCATCAGTGCTCGTATGAACGTATACAACTTTATTTCCCGCCAAATCAAGTTGGGTAAATTCTTCTAAGCGCGCCCCTGGAAAGTCCAAGTGTTCCAGACGCCCCTTTTGTGGCTGCTTCACTAGCGAATACCGCAGTTTCTCGTTTGGACTTCCTATATCGCTGGCGCTCAAAACATTCGTTGAAATAACCACGCGAGTGTTCTGTGCTAAGCGCACTCCTTTGTTAATAACTGTAGGGTAGATTCGATCACCCGTACTAATCTCCACATAAAATACTTGATTTAGCTGCGTGTTTTGACCGTCTGATAAGTCAAATTTGATGTAATCCCTTTCATCAGGGACTTGTGCGTTATGAAAGTAAACTATTCGCCTGTCGTTTATGTCCTTCTGAGAAAACATTTCTCCTTTGCCTAGGATTTGAGAAGACCCGTTCGAGTATATTTTTCTGAGTTGCCCTGACCGCGGAGAACTGCGCACTAGGAATGTAATGTTATCATCCGGGGAGTCTACGTCGTGAGCTCTGAGATTTTTTGGCGTGATTATTTTGCTTTCCCCTGCAGTTTTGATACGCAAGCCCACATTCACGGAAAGCGTTGGTTCCTCGTCATCTACTGGGATTATAAATACGGGTATCGTACGAGTGGTGTTGTATGTACCATCAGAGACGGAGAGCGCGAACGAATCTCTTGTGCTTTCGCTTCCATCATGTTGGTACACGATCGAGGTTGACTTTTTTATTTGCGTCAGAGGGAAACTTTGTACTGGTGTACCTTGTCTGCTATCCGTGATCATGCCGTGACGCGGTGGCGTCACAACTTCGAAGACCAGCTCGTCGGGAGGTACGTCCGCGTCCACTGCATTCAACACAGTAACATCCATGATGATTTCATCTCCCTCTTCCACCACGAAATCACGCGTGAATATCTGCGGCTTCTCGTCGTTCTGAGGCGAAATCTCGATATTAAGAAGATAACGCGGTGAGGTATTATTGCCGTCTGAGCATAAAAAAGCCACCCGGTCCATCGCGGGCTCAGTACCCTTGAACTGGTTTTGCACATAGCTAATATGTCCCGATCTAATGTCAACAATGGTAAAAGACGTGACGCGTTTGCCTCTGTTACTTATCTCAGATCCAGGAGATGGCGTGACCTTCTCCAAAAAACCCACTGTGGGTTGGACGTCAATGATACATGTAACGCGATCGTCAGGCGTGTCAGGATCCGTGATGGTTAGATGTTCTGATGTCAGTTTTGCCGATCCTCCTTCCATTACAACTAGCTGCTTGATCTTAGTAACCTTGGGTGGCTGACTATCAACAGGTATGATCATAGTAACCACTTCAACCGCTATAAAATAGAAATCAAAAATAAAAAGGGAATAGTCTCTCAGTATGGTGGTTCTTAACTTATTTTATGTCTTCTTTACCGCGGCAGGATAAGCTCAGTCAGTAGAGCGCTTGACTGCAGAGCGGAAAGTCGCGCGTTCGATTCTATGGGCCGGAGCAGTACTCAGGGTCTTAAAAAAACTGATTGATGAAGGTACTCCCTTTGCACCGCAAGCGGCTAGATCTCTACGTAGCTCGGATGACCACGTAAAATGGCGTCTCTAGTTGGAGACGTAAAAATAGTGTCCCCAATTAGTGCCTTCTTGCAACATACATTGGCACTACTCAAATAAATTAAGTCGCCGATAATGCGACCACAACCCAATTTGGACTCAACTGGTCACTGTAAAGAGGTTGACAGTCAGAATTCTCAAATAACAGAGACAGAGAGCTCTTTGACTCATGATCACTTTTTCTACCCTATTTCAGTGGAGAGAAGACCCACGGGGGAAAAAAAGAGGAGACTTCCTTTTTTTCTTTACTCTTTCTACATCGCGCACAATACTGCTTTGTCGTTTTGCGATAGAAGAGTTAGACTCACGTTTTTAAATATGTAAAACCGTTTCAGCAAAGCCCTAAAACAATTTACTAAATGTAAAACGTACTGGCAAAGCCTCAAAAATAAATGGCGATAAGTATAACATAAGCGTCTCACACACAACTGGTAGCCATGCAAAGCCGACCATTAAACAACCTATGGACCCCCGCAAGCTCGAACCCATACTCCTAGCCGTTTGAAAGAAAAACTTTTTCCTCTTCATTCCTTCCTCAGCCAGCAAAAAAACAAAAATTTAAGGTTCAGTTTTCAAAGCATCTTTGACCAAAATTTCAAGGGAAGAAAAACATATAGATACGTACCTTCATATCGTCGCCCTTCGCGGATCCAGGCCTTTGTTTCATTTAAAAGAGTCAAGTTAAAGTGATCAATGTCTCCGCGGAGCCCAGTCTCTCTACCAATGTGCTCGTAAAATATCAACCCAGTTTCCAAGTCCTGGACACTAAACTCGTAGCTCATCTTGCCATTACGCAAAATCCTTCCCACTCGGGGCGGGGTAGAGATGCGCAACATTAAGTCTGCGTCACGTGGGCTTTGAGAGGTCGTGTGCATTTTGATTGGCTCTCGAGAGTGCTCCCTGACTCGCACAGTCATATTGAACACGTGACTCGTTAAGTTTATCTTCTCTGGGAGAATTACTAGAATAAAGAAAACAAATAATTTAAGTTATTTTTGTTTATTTCCCTTTAATCAGGAGTCGAAACTCCATGTGCGACCACATCTCGTCATAAGCGACCGCCAATCCAAAACACCAAAATTTTCCCAGTCAAAGCCTTACAGTTGGAACCTCTAGTAAACGACAACCTCCTGTAAGCGACTGCGACCACTTCTTGGGCCTGACGGTTAATGATTTTCCATGGTTTTCAACCTCTTGTAAGCGACCACTTGACACATTCTGTGATCTCTATGTTGTGTGCACTATGCTACTAAATATAAACGAAGAACTGACAACATGGAACTACACATGGCGTAACTTAGACATTGCATGCAATAAATTATCCTCCATAAAGTAGATGTGCCCGGACCTCTACTCGGAAGAGGCCCCCTGTGGTTCGATTCTTGTAAACGACCACCTCCCGTAGGCGACCACTCAGTCTTTGCCTTTTGGGTGGTCGCTTACTCATTAGCATACGCTTATCATTCTCAAACCACAATGTTAAAACAACAATTCTATATATCGAAAGAGCATAACGATGTAGTTATTTCTAAAAAATTTTCCGGAGCCCGATGAAGGGAATTGTTTGCGAGAAATTTAACGTTTCCTTCGCAGGTTTCGATGGCTTCCATTTTCTTTGATATGGCCTACAAAGGGCTTAAAATTACACAGTTGTTTAAGTTATCTAGCTACGTACTTCTATCGGTTAAGTTGTATATCAAAGAGAAGAAAGTTAACAGTGATAGATCCCGCCCTTTCGAGCCAAAAACCTCATAGCCAATCAGAGCAGAGTGGGTGTAGATCAGATCAGTGGGTGTAGATCAGATTAGATCAGTGAAGTAAAAGAGATTGCAATTAATTGTCAAACGTCGTATGTGAGGAACAAGAAATCTTCACCTAGAAGATCACCTGTTATATTGTTAGTTGCAAATATCTGTGAACACAACGATGTATTCGTAAGCCTAGATAAAACAATTCTAGCATTTGCTTTAAAAATCGTTAAAAAAAATTGACTGAGGAAATAATGCTGCTGGGAGGAATTAAAAAGGTTTTTAAGATCCCACGAAAATTTCAGGAGGCATTTGTCGCAGAATACTTTTTTTTCTCACCTTTAAAAGAGAACGTTTCTTGTACTAAACTTCCTAAATATTTCAGAATCGCCTTAGGAGAGCACCGTTTTACAAAAGCTTTCTCGAACTTTCGCCCTGTGAGCGTAGCGTGCGATTATTGGCTTTATGGAACGATCCGTCTGGGTTTCGCGCGCAAGATTATGCAAAAAGTAACACTCCCACACGCGAGCGTGGGCTGATGAGACAGGAATTTTGTACTAAGCAACAGAAAACTGTCCTAATGCGCTCTTCATTCGATATGTTTTGCTATTAACTAAGATAAGAAACGAACATTCCGGCAACTGAACTGTTATTACTGACTGTCGACTTTTCAAGCTGGAAGACTAATCTTTCGCCGAAAGTCATTTTTTCCAGACTTACACTAAACTATCCGTAGAGAAGATAAAAGGCAGCTTAAACAACCACAATGACGATGGTTGGAAGGACGAAAAAAAAACAATTGTAAAATAACAGCCCTGGGTTTGGGATGAAGTGCTTTTAATGGGATGAACCGAGCCCTTCAACCCAAGGTCAGCACACTTTTTTTTTTGTTTTGACGTCCATAAGAGACTTCGACGTTAAACATCCTAATACATACGACGTTTTATGGAGGAAGCGAACGCACGACAACGTAGTATTCTTGTCCTTAAGAATTCAACATTAAGATAATTCGCCTTCAAATTGCGCGGGGCTAAAGAAACACGTTAAAGTTTGAAAGAACGCAAATTCATTTATACTGACGTTTGCCCTACAGTCAACGTCTTAGTTGCTCCCTAATCTCGCTCGACAACCCTAGTCCCGTCATAAATCCGTACTACGCACGCACCAAAACATTGTATTCAGTGAGATTCTTCAGTGGAGTTACACTTCGTTGAATACATGTGTCAACTGAACTACTCCCACGCAAATTTAGTCTAGTACTGTCCACGTTTATTCTCCACATTTAAAAGAATAAGGAGATTAAATTAAGTTTCTAAGAGCTAAAGTGTCTTTCGCCATCGTACGCTCTGCGATACTATGCTTTAGAGGCTCAAGATCCCGAAGACGACAGCTAGACTTTGTTGACTCAGATTTACAGATCGAAAACATGAGAGCCTACCCGAATTAACCTTTTTTTTTTCGGAACTTTTTTAAAGAATTAGGAATTTAGCAATACGAGATGTTATTCTTTTTAACTTGTTTCTTCATAATATCAGAGACGGATAATTTTCTTTTGTCATGACTTAACTGAAAACGCTGGACTGCCTGCAAGAGTTATTGCCGGATCGCATCTGAGCCGCAGGGAATGTATTTGGGAAATCGTTACTGACACAGTGATTGCATTTTTATGATTTATATAATTGTCAATGTTGTATAGTGGTTAATTCTTACTTCAAATATTTCTGTAAATTATGTACATATATTTACAGTTCAATAAAATTGTTATTATTATCATTATTATTTTTAAAAAAGAAACTTTCTTTAAGGTAGTGAACAAGCTGTAGCATTAAAATTTTTCCATGCACTAAAAGACTTGTCTGATTTCGAGGTGCTAACAACAATTGCTTTAATCCTATTAGAGAACAACCCATGTCTCCGGTTTAGAAAAGAAATTAGTTGTGTCTAACAATAGTTACCTCTAGTCACGAAAAGTGTGCTAGTGACATAATCTTGGGGAAGTATCGTTTCAAAAAGCTGAAACATGTAACTGCGTCTTCTACAACTGGGACAAGCAAAAAATTAGCAGAAAAAATCATTTTATTTTTAGTCAGCGATTACAGTCGTTCGTGTGAAAGTTAATCAGTTTAGCGTAGATTAAGGGGTTTTATCCAGGTGACTAAAGTTTCAGATATTTAAAGGTTTATCGCAATGAAAGCTCGAAAGAAAATCCTAGCACATTTCACGAAAAGCGCACGGTTACAAATATAAGCTAACCCACCTGTGAAAATAATGTCGTATGTTGTGATAACAAATCAACAAATACTTAAATACGATTGTAGTGACAAGGCTCGTGATTTTTTAGCTTTCCAATTCAGTAGTCTTATGTCTCAGTGATACTCTAGGTCTTTCTTGAATGCAAGTAATGTGAAATGTGTTTTGCTTGCAATGGTAAAGTCTCGTGTTTTGACAGGGGCACAGCGAATGTCAACTGGCCCCTTTCTTGCGTTTCTTTGGTTGATTGAATAGCAAGAAAACTTTGAAACTGTATTTGTTGTTGAAGATAAAAGGTACAATTATCTTTTCAATACTGGAAAAGACAGACTATCAACCGCCTATAGTAAAATGAGGAAAGATTTGCAACACCGAAAAACTTCATTTGCTTCTTGCAATTGCTCGATGAGTTAATCATGTGTTCGATTCAAATTTACCGCAACAAAAATGCCGAACAGGAAAAAATCATGCCATGTTCCTCAAATAGAAGCGTGGTATTGCTTTAAAATAATCAAAACAAACTTCCTCATACCATAATCGGCTTGGCATATTGAATGTTAATCAACTTATCATGAGAATTATCGGGGACATAGTTAACTAGTTTTGCTCACTTCAAGGATGGACAAGTATCTGTCATTTTTAACACTACTTTTTGCAGCAAAAACGAAACGCGCCTTGAACACTTAAAAAGTCTTTATTAGGCTGCAAGCTATGAGTTCCGACTGATGTGGGTTAATATTAGAATTAAAAAGCAAAAAATGTGAAAATAACAAAAGACTCGAACCCTGAATACTTTCTCAAACTGCCTCTTTCTTTTCCCTGTGGGAAACATAAGTGAGGCCGAGCGGATTGAATTCTTTTCATGTGAAGAAACTCTTAGGCCAAGAGTTCTGTCCCTGGCTTATCAGAACACGCTTATGCAATTTTCTACCACAAGATATCCGTAGATAAGAGCGATAAACGAGGGATTTTAAGTAGTTTTGAATGAGGAGGGTATGGGGTATGCCGGCAATTTCCCTTATCGATTTCTTTCACGCAGGGAACGAAATACGCCCTTATAAGGAAAAATCACAATGTTTGATCTCGACAACTGAAAAACCGGCTCATTTTTTTAACGAAAAACACTGAGCCACTTTTGTTCTTTGGGTTGTCTTTAATTATCTTTGACTGGAAAGTCTTGACGGTCCTTATAATTAAGTTAGTGAATCCGAAATAAAAAGCATTCGCTCTTCTAGAACTATGGTTCACGTTTGTGTCCAACAGTCAACGCCATATGCGGGTTGAGTGTGTTGCCCTTTCTCCGGATTCCTTGCGCCGGTTTTCTCCGTATCCTTCCGTGTTTCCTCTCCTCAAAACTTAAAACTTCAAAACTCAAATAATTCGTTCTGGATTGCACGAAAACGATCACAGAGCGAGCACTAACCGTGCTCTACGATGTCAAATTTTCGTGAATCTTAATTCCAGCCGAGGACAGTTGAAGCCAGTCGCACTTATAGTTATAAACAATTTAACTTTCACGGATTGTCATAGAGGAAAGAGAAAGTTGTTTTGCGGAAGCTAGGTAAAACATAATTTTGAAGGTAATGCCATACCAGCCGTCGTTATGTCTTGACAAAATAAAAATTTTAGTAAACACAAATAAGTCAGTCTTTTTTCCAGGTGACGATTCAAAACACTTGGTCAAACTAAAAACGTTCACAGTCGAAATCAAGCTACCTCTCGGTCAAAATCGGTCATTTTCGGACAATCTCTAATACACATGACAAGTTGCGTGATATTCAGCTAGAAAGACTACCATCGTTTAATTTCTAATGCTAACATGACAAGGAATTTCGACACACCCTACTTGCACAAGATGAAAAAAGCTTACAAAAACCACTAAACTGGACGAAAGGTTAATTTGGCAACAAGTCAAAAATAGAAATTCATTTTGAAACACTAAGTACTGTTGTCATCAGATTTTTACGCTTAATTGATGCAATTTCCCCACCCGCATTTTAAGCACGAAATGTCTGCGTTGTTGTTGTCATTGTTTTTTTTTTCCTCTCCTGGCCCACATCTAATCCATTTGTGAGTATCTGGTGAAAAGACAGTATTCAACACAACGACGTTCAGGCAAACTGACCTTAACTTCTTCATCATTGAGTTTCAGCACGAAATCTTTTCGGTGAGAAACAGGCTGTTCGTATAGCTCCGTTTGACAGTTCATGACAGTTCATGACTACTTCGGAAAGAAGTAAAAGAATTCAATCATTCTAAACCGCAATTTTTCAACCAATAAAATTAACTTAATTATTTAAGCTCAGAAAACATGTTTAATTTTTACAACCAAGGATAACAGTATACCGAATCCAGCATTATTACTTACAACTGACTCATTTGAGACACCCATTTATTCATAATTTTTAAGAAAGGCATTGAATCGATAAGTTTAAGCCGGAAAAACGACGTTATTTAGATCGAGAAAGTGGGGGACATATAGAATGCAAACAATGTCGGCCTTGGAGATAAAAACAACCATAAACTATGACAACAAAGAATCACTAATGAAAAATGGCGTCGGGATTCTGACAGCGTCCAACATTGCTTTACTGTTTTCCAAATTATATCACACGGAGTAATCGAGTAGTCAAACAAATATTAATGAGATTTCGTCTCTCGGAATTAGGTTTTAACAGAGATAACATAATGAACTTTCAAAAGCCACTTCATAGTTATCCAGTGATCTCGTTAGCTAAATTTTGCCTTTCTTAGTAAAGCTTACGACTCAGGAATTAAATATACAATTTTTAGATCAGAAAATAAGCATCTGTTTGCCTTTGCTTTGAAAAAAAAGCCACTTCACCTTAAAAATTAAGTGGAGGAGGGCGGACCTTGGTGTTTAAACCGAGTTTGTTATATTTTCATACTATTTTTTAACCTGTGATCTTGCGTTTTTTTCAGCTTAATTCTGAGGAGCGAAAGTGGACGAAAAAGAAAAGAACGCTTGATCGCAGGATTGTTTAGTTTTGTCTAGTCAAATAATAAGCCAAACGTTACTCTATGACGAATTATAAGCAGTTCTCGTTCCTTGGTAAATCTAAATCGGCCCAAAAGACATAAAAAAACCAGCTTGTTTGGAAAAGAGTAGAAAAAACGAAGAGAGAAAAAAGAAATGTCGAATATCAAGATGAAAACTCGATTCGACCCCGGCGTAGTATTTATGTTCTATAGCAAAAACGGAGTGAAAAAGTTGCCCTCCAAAAATCACCCCTACGGTCGTTGTATTTCCCCAAGCAAAAATTTAAAGTGCAGCACAATGCGTGCAGTATCTCATCGAAGGCTTGGCGTGGCGCCAGAAGGATTGCACCGAACAGCGATTTTATGTAATCCACTCGACCCATGCCACGCCTCCACTTCAGTCCCTTTGTAAAATGTAGATAACAAATCTTTTTAACTCACCTATTTCTAACAGGAAGCTGGCTTTTTGCACGCCATCATCAACTTTCAATCCAAGCTCGTCACTAGCCTCGCCCCTGACCACGTGCCGATAAGACATTCGGGAAGTCTCAACATCCCGGGCGGTGAATGCGTCACTTTGTTGCACTTCCTGGCCATCTTTGAGAAAGGTACCGTAACGGGGCACAGTTATCAGCGTAAACGATATTTTGCTTCTAGGAGTGTCTTCATCTAACACGGTTAAATGTTCCTTTCCAAGAATTGTTTCACTGAATTCTCGTACTTTTAGCGGTGTCACAACTGGCCTGGGGGCTTGGTTATTAACCGGCTTCAGGGCAATACGGAAGGTTTGGTCTTTGATCGTATTACCCGACAGGTCCGATACAGAAAAGTCGAACTGGACATATCTAGTTTTGGTTCCGAGTTCTAAGTTAGGTGATTTAAAGGTTACTTTTTTATGCCGCACTTGAAGCTGCGTGAATTTTGAAGCTTTTTCGTTAGTGTCGGAAAACAGGATTTCTCCCGCAAAAGACGTGATGTTCGGGCTATCATTGATGAAGTACGGTTCTTTCGTAATGAAAAACATAAGATCGTCGTCGTTAGAATCTCTATCTGCGTAGCGCAACACCTCCTGACTGAGCGCCATCTGTCCATATTCGTCAGCGGTTAACTCCATTGGGGAGCCAGGAAACGGTGATGGAGGAAGATCATCAATTTGACGGATAGTGACTCGGAACGTTTTAATCGGAGACACGTTTGGGACTTCTGCCTGATCAGACAAGACAAACGCGATTTCATCATGAAAATACTCCCCTCCAAGATGTCGGTAGTAAAGCCTTCTGTTTGTTATATCATACTGAGAGAACTGAGTCACGTTCTGTTCAAAGAAGCCATCTTGTTTCAGAATCCACCTGTCGGCATCTCCCTCCGGTGGAGTTTTTGTCCTTAAGCACAAAACACCGACCTTGTTTGCTGAATATAGCGCGGAGCGTGCGTCGCGCTGGAAGTTTGGAATCGCGACGACTCTAAACAGAATCTTACTGTCTTCAGAGTCAATATCAGTCGCACTTAACATATATTGGTCGATCACTGCAATATCCCCTTCGTCCAATACTAGGCCTGTATTGCGAACAAGTGTCGGTGCAGTATCGTCCACAGAACCTATTGTAATTGGGAACAAAAACTTTACCTCGTTTTTGCCATCGGTCATACGGAAAATTATATTGTCACTGTATGAGTCCGAATTGTCGTGGTGATAGGTTATAACAGGTATTTCCAAATCGGTCGCCATAAAAGTGTCTATCTTATGACCCATGATTCTAAGCTCACCGTGTCGTAGACCGCTAATTGCTTGCAGCTTAACGTCGTTAAAGTTGTCTTTATCTGAGATGGCCAGATTGAACTGATCTGTAATTGTGCGTGACTGGCCCTCGAATAGACTCAGACCGGCGTTTTTTGTGATAAAAGGTGCTTTGTTGTTGGTCGGCTTCACCATGATCAGGAGTCTAATTGGTTCAGATTTAGCGCCTTCTGTGTCAACTGCCTCCAAAACCACCCGAAACATACGCAGTTGGTCGGACTGTGCAGAGGGTGGCTTGTACGCAATCTTGAGCTGCGCGATATCTCTTTGATAAAATGCAGTGAGCGGCTGATAAGGGTCATCTGTGTTTATCAAAGAGCCTTCGTGTGATTGCAACGCCTGAGTGATGTTAAAAATTATCTCACCGGCTTCGGTTTCAGTATCAGAGGCAGCTAAAATGTCAGATGTTATCGGCGCGATGGAGTACTGACTCACCTCGACGGAATGAGAAGCTTCGAAGGAAGCCACGGGTCTCTGATTCGAGCGCGCGCCCATTATTCGCACAATGATCTGAAAATACTCCCTTGTGATACTGTCAGTGTTCGGGTCAATCATCTCTACGACCAAGGGAATAAAATCTTTGTTTGACGAAGAGCGTTTGGTGTGTTGATAAGAAATATTGGACCGTAAAAACTCGCCGCATTCGAACTGTGCAGAGGTCCCGTTGCCTTTCGTCACGTTAACAAGCTCACCGTAGCGCGGAATCACTCCACTTTTGATATCAAGCAGAGTTACGGAACATATCTTGGTCGGGTCCTGTTTGAAGGCGAGGACGTCGCCGTTTATTGTGGACGTGCCACCGATTTCCTCCACCGTGATGGGTCGATTGAGTTTGACGATTTCCATATCCGTGAACAAAACTGTCACATGAAGATTGAGGGGAATCAAACGAGTCTCGTTGTCGGTGTCGACACGAATTTGCAGCTTAACAAAATCCTGGAGAAAAAACATGGACCCCAAGTGAGAGTACTGAACGTCACCGAGCGAGAAATCGCACGGGAACACATCGGGCGTTAGAAAACCGACTCGCTGCGACAAGGGGTCACTTCGTAAGACGACAACCTCACAAATCGCTCCTTCGGGAAAAGTGATTTGGAGATCGTGAACCGGATCCACAAACACCGATCGCCCTAATTCCACTCTTATTGGAGATAACTTGGCCACATGTACAGATCCAGAGCAATAAAAGACAAGTTCGAGAAAACAGACAACACACACCAGGCTCGTGGCGAAGCACATTGTTTCAAATCCTCGCCGATGCTGAGATGTTTTCAGTAGGCCTCGGTAGATTGCCCCAGTTCGGCTGCTGTACCTTCACTGCGTATCCTGCGGTATAAAAACGTGCGTCGATCACTTTATAAAGTTCTCTCACCAAATGATTCTACACAGGGTTAATGGTGTTACCGGAAACCAGCGCGGACAAAAGTTTATTATATCTGCATATCAGCGCTCAGAAAGATTCAATTTACACCTTTATCTAACCGACCACAAATTGACACTGCGATTCGATGCGCACTCGGAGCGTACGATATTTGCAAAATATTATGCAAGTTTGTTTGTGCCACCTGGCTTTGGAACAGTATGTGCCCTCGCCCCAAGTTCAAATCAAAATTTGTTACAGGGAGAATATAGCTTAAGAAACGGAAATACTTTCAGGATATATCGAGTTTAGCCGAGGTTAGCAGATGTCTGGCAAAGTTCACGGACTGTCACGCTCTTATTAGCATTAGAGTTGAGAAACGAGTTTTCAACTTTCTTTGTATTCGCACTGTGAGACCAACAAATAAGGCAGTCAATTAGGCGGCGATTAAATCCCCTTGATTCCCGAAATTTCATTTTGATTTTTCTGGACGTCGGCACACGCTGTTAGATATGGCAAGCATCTGGTAAGCAGATTGAAGAAGTACGAGAAGATAAGATCCTTAAGCCCAGCTTAAAAACACAATAAAAATATATGATATTTTCCATTGTTTGAAAATGCTTTGTTGTGGTGTCGATCAAGGGACAAGTAAAAACCATCCATGTAAAGTATTTAATTAATGTGCCGTCTAAATCGCGATATACACAAAGTGTTTGCGGAAATCAGCCTCGTTGCGCCTAATTGTTTGTTCTTCCCACGGCAAATGCTGACTAAAATCCACACATCTTTCTTTCATTATCGCCACGGGAAGCATCCTAATTTGATAAACTAAAAGAACAAAACCACGGTTGGACATGTACAGTAACAAAAAACGTTAGCCAAAACAGACGCGTCGAGTATTTTCCGGATCCTCATGGCTCACTGCATCTCTTGATTTATTAAGCCATCGGGGCAGGAAGAACGATTTTTTTTTTCTGTGAAGGCATTTCACGACTTACAGCGACCGTGTACGTACTTATACAACTTTGGCATTATATGGCGTCAATTAATGAATTTTCCTTAATCTTTCTTGCTAATGAGCTTGTCTGTACGTCCAACAACTTGCAAGGAGATTTGTCAAGAGTAATAGACGGGTTTTGCGCAGTTAATACTCCATAAACAGCAATAGCGTGTGGGGAGACCCTTCAGACACATGATCCTCAAATTTTATAGGGGAATATTAAAAGAGGTTGTTAAAACACCGGGTAAGGTTGTAAAGAGAGCAGAGATTCTTATCTGGCTTTCGTGACCATATAAAAAGCTTTACGGAAAACAAAAACTTGACGATATTGGTAAAGCGTGCATGCGTGAAGCCAGGTGCTGAGCTCGAAGCACGGGCGTAGGCACTGTACTATTTTTTGACAAAACGTAACTCTCTCTAGTTTCTCCAATTAACGTTGATACGGCACGAATTTCGAGTAAGATCATTTAACAGAAGATAAACAATAGCATGCTAACCCACCTTTTACCGGAATGGCTGCCACCCACAATCAAACTTGTACCGCTGTGAAGTTAAAGATCGTCAGGACCTATCAAAGTAACGAAATAGTAAACGTCAGTGTCACTTTTCACGTATAAACCTTTCCTCACTAAGAAATGCTGACGCTCTTTTATTGAATGGCTTTTTCATTCGCAGTAATTCAATCAAAGAAGTTTCTAATATCAGTATCTTGTGTCTGTTTGTCCGTTGTAGTTCGAACTGTTTTATATCACTTAGTTCTTTAAATATTTTAAATACGTCCTTGAGAGAAAAAATTCTTAACGGTGACATAAAGCAAAGCAAGTCAAAACCTTACTTTTGAAAAGCGTAGCAAATTTACGTCAAACTACGTTAAGTCGTTTTATATCCCACTGTACCCCACAAAACACTGACTGCTTTCTGAGGCACTAACTCGTAAATATTGCTTTCTTATAGTTTTATTGAACAGAGTACAGTGGTGTTCCCGTGACAAATCATAGGCCAAACGTCATGTAATTAAGAACTTAAAAATAGGCCAAAAATTGCGACCATTTGAAGCGAAACAGAAGAATTTTTGTTCATTCTATCTCCTCAGTCTCATTGTCGCTGAGAAACTAAAGGATGGTGGAGTGCTTCATTTCACTGAAATAACTCTCTGGTCTAAATTCAGACATGTAGTGCCCGGGGTCAAAGGAACAAGTCTCGAGTTGCCCACAAATTAATGAGTTGGTTTACAAACCTCGATAGCAATGCAAGAAGGTTAAAGAAAATCACTGGTTTCGATTCCACTTACCTGTGTGGTGAGTAAAAAGTAGATAGCGAAACGAAATTCGACCTGTTTTGGCGTTGGTTAATGCAGTCCCTTTCCGCAATTGAGCTACTGTGTTTAGAGTGACCCCTGTTTAAACACTAGCTAAGAAAACAACATCTCCTCTCTAAGTGCCTTTTAGGATTTGAGAGTCTAGCTGTTTACGAATTAGTACGAAGAGCCGGAAAACTTATCAAGGTCGCGAGCTGAGGACGACAACACGAAAGTCTGACGACTTCATTGCACGTCGGCTAGCTTGACATGATAAAAATGCCTTTCTGCTAAAATTTTCAGGTGCAATCGTTAGCAATAAAAACGAATGTCGGCGCACATCCAAGATGCAATGTTGACAAGGCTTAGACTGAAAGCAACAAAGAAGGTCTCTGTTGGAACAACTGACTACTTTTAGTTGAATATCCGCAACTTTCACGAGCATTTACGAAACTTTGAACAGAGTCACTTGAAGTTAGGTACTGGCACAGTATCAGTGTTAGTATGCGCGCGCTAGTTTTAGTAGTGTAACACTGAAACTCAGTAGTAATACAGAAACAACAACAGCATCATTCCCCTGACATTCAAGGTTGGTGCATTTTTTTCTCCCTCGCTCTCTCTTCAGTGCAAACGAGAACCATGGCATCAACCAGACGTTTAATGCATGAGCTCTTTTTACACGAAGAAGCATTTCGTCAGTTCCTGGTTATATAACATATTCTCAAATATTCCCACTCCTGGCCTTGGTTTAACGACCTCTGGATCCATGATGTCTCATGAAAACGTAGGTAAACTCGGGATAGGATATCAAAGAAAGAAGCTTACACGCTGAGAAGTATCAAAGTCTAAACCAGTTTCGCTTTTTATTTCTAGAATGATCGCTGTCGGTTAGACAAAAAAAGGTTCCGGGCTTTCTTCCGACTCAATTCTTCCTATGATTTTACTATTTAACAGTGCTCATCGTGTTCCGGATTTATATATCCCTTTAAACTTATGACCGTACTTAATTCATTGACATTTCCGTACTTTGCGTTACACAGTCAACCGATTCTTTGAATCCATTGGCCACGTCGATAAAGTTTTAAACCAACAAGCGCTTGTCGAGATCAGTTCCAAATTTCAGTTGTTTCAAAAAGCAGGTTGCCACTTACTTTATAGCGGGGAGCGGGTTTACGCTAGTCAAAACAACCCCCTCACGGAAGTCTGCTAAAAAAAAACGAGCTCCGATATCATTTACGACCCGGAAGCCGGGTCAAGTTCTGCAGAAGAAAGCAAGACTATTTTTATTCTAACTTGATCTCAGTGTTTTTGCGCTGAATAAGTGCCATCATTAATCATAGTGATGCGTGCCAATTTTGGGTGTTTCTTGAATGCTCTGTGAGTGAATAACGAAAAATTATTTTAAAAAAAGAAAATAAATAAACTTAAACTGTCCGGAACAGAATATTTGCCAGCCTGTTGCCCTCTTCAACAGTTAACTGAAGAAATTCTTTTTTAACGATTTAGAGATTCAGGGAAGTAGTGCATCCGCATAGTGATTCTTCGTCTACCATTCCTGGTTGAATTGGAATTCGGAAAAGTTTATCTTGGACCGGGGTCTTTGAGGGGAAGGGGAAACCGGAATACCCGGACAAAAACCTCTCGGAGCAAGGGAGAGAACTAACAACAAACTTAAGCCACATATGACATCGACGCCGGTCGTTATCTCCGGGTAACATCATTGGCAGGTTCATTCCCTCTCGGGGTTGGAGGCGAAAGTTCTCTCGATGTGGAATTTATGGATAAAATCCTAACTATCGATTATATATTCAAATTCATACTTGGCTCCGAGGCTTGGGGGAATAAAACAAAAGAAATACATTACTGTCAGGGGCATCCAGCGAGAATATAGTTCAAAATTACTTAAACATAGCATTGTTGAACGTATTTTTGTATTTAAACGTTAAATATTGGCATATTTTTATCCCCCAAGAAATTTTTCATCTGTTCGGATTTCCTAGCTGGGCGTCTAGTGATCCGAAAGATATAGGGGTCAAAACTTACCTTTTCGAAAATTTCAGCCAGAAAAAAGGCTCCTGAAAATTCTAGGTGACCTTTTTAGGGAAAAAATCCGTTAAAAATGGGAAATTATACCATTTTTTAGATGTTCGAAAATCCCAGGAGAGGCAGGCAAGCAAGAAATTTTACAACAAATGTTCCGAACATTCTAGATCTCAAATCGTCTTCCGAACAGATATTTTCTAAAGATTGACGTTGAGTGCCCCTGTACTGTGGCTGAGCCTCACGATTTTTTTTAATGTTTTATTCCCCTAAGCCTTGGCGCCAAGCATGGATTTTAATACTGTGATATCGAAGTTTGTCTATCGGCTCCTGTTAAGGCTTATCTCTTAAACTCCTAATAGGAAGAGTCGCCAAGGCAAACTTTTCCTTCGGCGTGTAGACGAAATAACATGTGTGCAAGGACTAGTCAAATATAACCTCTTACATGGTACTATTCAGATTGTACACGGCGTATATATAACTAAGTCTAACTTTCGATTCTGCTGGGCAGGATCCCACAGTCTGACCTTTCACATTAAAAGCTGTTAAGCAGTAGATTCACATGATTTTTTGACTATTTGTTTTGGATGTAATTCAAACTTTTGAGTTACAGACGAAATCCTCCGACTGTGACCATTCAAATGATACCTCTTCAGCAGTTTTTTTCGCTTGGCCGTTCGCCGACTTTTCCCCTCCCGAAAAGAAAAAAACGCCTGATACCAGCTGGTCGACAGGCCGTTTTGAATCTGTGCCCGGTTGCAATCCTAAGGTGTGACCATTCTAATGAAATCCTTACAATATTGCTCGCACGTGGTTCCGTTTGTTTTGCTGCATATTCTAAATTATAATTTTCTTACATTTTGATTTGGCGCAGTTTTGAGAAAAGTAGGGCCAGAGGCGGAAGGAAGGAAGAGGGAGTTGTATGTATTCAAATCATGGGCAGGAGAGGGTTTGTCTCGTCACGAAAAACGGCCATGAGGTGGAAAAGAAGGGTTGCCGACATAAAACGAAAACAAAGAGTAAACGAGACAATCGACACAATTACTTTGATTCAGTTTTTTAACTTCGTATGGTAAAAAAGTGATGAACAACAAACAGCCGCAAAAACCGCAAAGTGTAAGGTTTCCATTTAACTATTTAAACCTACTCAAACCAAGAGTGCCTTTCATTTGATCGCTTACAAATCCGGAAATACCGAGATGAAGCAATTAAT